ACACACTCACTCACTCACACACACACTCACTCACACACACACACTCACGAGTTAAAATCAGCTGTAAAACAACTGAGAGATGAACAGAAGCCAATGACCGCGTGGAAGATCAGTGTGAGTGTCTGAGTTCAGGCGTCTGCAGACGGACGGCTCACATGCCCTGCCTGATGCTCTGGATGATCTGGAAGATGGCTGAAACCCAAACACACCTCATGTTAAAGCCTGATCACATCACATCGTCATATTAAAGGGATAGTTCACACAAAAATCTAAATTAGCCCATGATTAACTCACCCTCAAGCCATCCTAGCTGTGCAGGACTTTCTTCTTTCAGACGAATACAATCGGAGTTATATTAAAAACGTCCTGGCTCTTCCAAGCTTTATAATGGCAGTGAATGGGTGCTATTTTTCAATATTCCAAAAGAAGTCCAATAAAGCGCATCCATCCATCATTAAAAGTGCCTCACACGGCTCCGGAGGTGCATAAAGACCTCCTGTAGCGAACCAATGCGTTTGTGTAAGAAATATATCCATATTTAAAACTTTATAAACCGTAATCTCTAGCTTCCGCTAACTGTTGTATGCGCGTTCACGAGAGTGGTGTTCCAGTGGATGTGACGAACTCGGAAGCGCAGAGGAGAGAGCAAAGCAAAACAATGGTCACAAAAAACTTGGTTCTCGCAAGACTAGCATATTCTGCACCGAAGCTTACGCTAAGCCTACGTCATCCGCTGGAACGCCACTCTCATGTACGACAGTTAGAGAGATAGAGATTACGGTTTAAAGGTTTTAAATATGGATATTTTTCTAACACAGATGCATCACTTCAGGAGGCCTTTATTAACCCCCGGAGGTGTGTGGAGTATTTTTGTGATGGATTGATGCACTTTATTGGACTTAATAAACGTTTTACGTTTCTTATTTATTTGGTTATATATTATAAATGTTTACTCATTTCCAGTTTTGTATACCTATTTAAAGTTTATGCAAGTTATTTGTTATTTTATATTAGGCATAGCCTGCCCTATAGCATGGTGTATTTTTATTTGTTTTGTTTTGTTAATAAAAGTTCTATGTTTTATATATAGACTAAAGTGAGTTTGACGTTGTATTTTGTTG